GCACTCTCAGAATGGGACTCATTTGTATGTAGGGGACTTACTATACCACTTCACTGCTTTTCCTGCTCTACGTTGGCCCTCCTACAGTCTATTCTCAATGAAACAGTTAAAATGACACTTCAAAATCTGTTCAAATCCCCCCATTGGCTCCCTATTTCTTTCACACTAAATGTCTTGCAATAGCCCACAAAGCCCAACTATTTTACCCTGCTTGCATTTGAACTCTTGAGGACAAAAATTGTAGTTTCTAGTGTTCACTAAAGTATCCCAAGTACCTGGAAGTACCTGGTAACACAGTAGGGGATCAATAAATAACCTTGGGGTAAATGGATGATTCTTGTTTCCTTTTTCATCATTTATTTTTTCCCTGTTGGAATGAAAGCTGCATGAAGGCAGGGGTCCTTATTGGTCTTTTTAATGTGATATACAAAGCACTCAGAAGAGCACCTGGTGTATACTAAGTGCTTAACAAATTTTTGTTAAAGGAATGTGAATATCTTCTATGAAAATGGTATTGCATCTGCTTACGTCATACTGAATGAATATATTGTGCATACAGGTAAATAACCTCCATTCATCACTTTCAGGCACCTATCAGTGGTGGATGATGAGTGTCATACAATAAAGCAGGGAATGAACTGTTCACATACATAGAACTTTATGGGAAACAGTATGCAGGGTTGTGTTTGCCCCAAAGTTACAATCATGTAGTGAACTGGAATATATTCAGTAAACATCACCATTCTTCCTGCAATTTGCCCTATCTATACAAACTCTTCCGCTTAACTCCCTCTGGAAAAAGAAAGCTACTGCTTTGCTGGTTATTTGCAAAACTGCTTACCCCAGGGGGCTTTCTTTCTTTTTTTTTGGGGGGGGGGAGGTTGTTTACAAAAATGAAAAAAAAATTGTTATTTCAGTGTATAAGAGTATTTTGTATTCTTGAAGGAGAGATTTATGATGCCAATGACTTATACAATCTAGTTTGTTTTTGATCTGTATTGAAGGGCATTCATATCCATATACTCCTGTGTGCAAATGTAGGGGATCCGAAACCATTCTCTGTGATTGTTTGGATTGTTAATCTCTCCAGGGTTTCTTCAACATTCTCAGAGTCAGTTTCTGGCACCAAAGGGAAAAGGGAGAAGTTGAAATGCAATTTTATCTCCCAATTGAACTTGATTAAATGGGGACTGTTCTAATCAAAAGTTTGAATCCTACGGGAGTGCAGTGTTGTTAACGGGTTTGAGAATATTTGAGAAGAACCAGGAGGAAGAGTACCAAAAGTTAAGGCAGAAAAGGCATTAGGCAAGAATAACTGTAGTTAAAGTTTATTAATAAGCTTAAAATTAGGTGAACAAATTGCTTCACAGATAGTGTCAAGCTCATCGCTAGACTGGCAGAGGAAGTGGAAGAGAGCTCTTTGAAAACATTATTTTTATTATTTTAATAATTTGTGTAGGCATCATAGTAGCTGCAATCTGTTAGCCAGAAACGATTGCCAGCTGGTGTCATCGTGGAGTAACTATAGTAGGCTGAATGCAAACATGTTTTCCCTTTACCTGGAGAGGATTCAATTTTAGAAAGTTTCTATTCATTTTTGCCTGAATGTGAGGTCTGCCCACATAGATAAGGAAGCCTGTTTATTGCTCCTGATTTAAGAGCTTTGATTCGGTTCACACCAAGTTCCACAATTATAATAGAAAGAGCACACCTGAGACAGACTGTTTACACAACTAAAGTTACCCATCATTAAAAATGAATACTTGGGCCTATGCCTGAATTATCGATGTAATTGCTTGATGCTATGGATTGTTTTTCTTCTGAAGGAAACGGTGGCACTCCATTAGTTATTTTACTGAAAGCAGAAACAGATCTTCTGGGATAATGTTATTTGAAAAAGGTTAAAAGTGCACTTATTTATAGAAACATACATTTTGTTAGCAACATAGCTGTTATATCTGTTTGCTGTAATATCTTCTAAAATTCTCCTAGGTAACTTACAATGACATAATCATGTTAAGATTGTCATTGTCGTTCCCTTGTTTATCTGGAAAGTCACAGGCTAGGTTCCACAACAACGCAAGATGTAGAGCTTACTCAGCTTTGCCTACAAAGCCAGAGGGAGAGAGAAAAATACTTTAATTGTTCTATTGCAGTTCTGTTGTCTCTTCCTGCCTCTTGACTCAAAGGATCTCAAGAGAGGAGAATGGAAATTATGGGCTCCGTTGTTGATGTTCGTTGGATTTCTTAAATGGTGATTTGAATGCATTTCAGGGATGATAGTGGTTTCTAATTCTGGCTCTATTTTCACCTAGTTTTCCTTGGTTAAGTTTCCTCATCTCTGAAATGGCATATTATTCAGTTGTCCTTCTGTATCCCAGGTTCCTTATCCACAGATTCAACCAACTAAGGACTGAAAATATTTGAAAAAAAGTCCAGATAGTTCCAAAAAGCAAAACTTGAATTTTCTGTGTGTCAAAAACTATTTACATAGCATTGACATTGTATTAGGTATTATAAGTAATCTAGAGTGACTTAAAGGTATATGGGAAGATGTGTGTAGGTTATACGGAACTACTTTACAGCAAAAAGAAACAGTGGAAACAGGGACAAATTTTATTTTCTTGGGCTCCAAAACCACTGCAGCTGGTGACTGCAGCCATGAAATTAAAAGATGCTTGCTCCTTGGAAGAAAAGCTATGACAAACCTAAGCAGCACTTTAACAAGCAGAGACATCACTTTGCTGACAAAGGTCTGTATAGTCAAAGTTATGGTTTTTCCAGTAATCATGTATGGATGTGAGAGTTGGACTATAAAGAAGACTGAGCGCCAAAGAATTGATGTTTTTGAATTGTGGTGCTGGAGAAGATTCTTGAGAGTCCCTTGGATTTCAAGGAGATCCAACCAGTCAATCCTAAAGGAAATCAACCCTGAATACTCAATAGAAGGACTGATACTGAAGTTGAAGCTCCAATACTTTGGCCACCTGATGGGAAGAGTTGACTTACTGGAAAAGACTCTGATGCTGGGAAAGATTCGAGGGCAGGAGGAGAAGGGGGTGACAGGATGAACTGGTTAGATAGCATCACTGACTCAATAGACATGAATTTGAACAAACTCCAGGAGACAGTGAAGGACAGGGAAACCTGGCTTGCTGTAGTTCATGAGATTGCAAAGAACTGGACACGACTGAGCGACTGAATAGCACCATTTTATATAAGGGACTTGAGCATCCCAGGATTTAGGGGAGGGGTAGGACTATACTTCTCTTATCTCCTTAGAGTGTTGTTCCAAGGAGCAAATGAGATATGGCTAGGAAAGTGCTTTCCACTATATAAAGTGCCACCAGTACTCCGGTTTTACCTTTGGGTAGCTAATGGAGTTATATTTATCCATGTGACATCAAGTGATTTTATAGAAAACAAGAAACTTCTCAAATAAAGTAATACAACAAGGTGTAATAGGTTTTTACTTTGCTAATGCAAAGGCATATTTTAAAACATAAGTAACACCATTAACTAGATGCATTCAGGAAATAATTGTTGGGTTTCATTGGGATTTGTTCTATCACAGTTCCTGGCTTTGGAGAGTAGTGTGATGCCATTAATAGGATTTTAAACTTTAAATGTGAGAAAAAGAAATGGGATCAAGTAAGCTTTAAAGAAACTGATTCATCTTACCCAACACCTTTCTTACTCATGGAATCTCATACAGTGTCAGGAAGGACACTGTGGTTGTTAATAGAGTTGAAAATAGGAAAGGAAGTAGCAGAGGGAAGTTCATTAGAAGAGTCCAACCTGCCTAGAACAATATAAATGGCCTCTTTTGGGCAAGTGTTAGCAACTCTGAAAGAGATCTGGATCTTAACTAATAGCTGTGATGGGGGCAGTCTGACAAATGAAAGAAATCAGCACAGTGTCTCAGGAAGGGACAAGTACAGGATAGACCCATGAAGAGGCCAGGAGGGAAGGCTGGGATGTTGGGGCTGGGGACTAGGGCTGGCAGGGCACCCAGGAGGGACATGCTGGCCTGAGCCACGGACTCAAGCTGCACTGTGTCCACCTTCAGTACACTGCCACTCTCAATTTCTGTCGAGTAAGTCCAGGAATTGGGTAGGCGCAGTTATCTCATTTTTTTTTTCCTCCTCCATTCATTACCTGAAAAAGAGAAACTGTTATTAAACAAAGAATTGCTTCTCAGATAAATGCAAAATAAAGATGTTTGACAAAGAAAGTTAAAATCTGCACCTAATCAAGAGCTTTGTGGCTTGTGAAATACAGGTGATCTTATCGTCCCTATTGGGGTGGGGGGAGGGGCGAAACTTGCACATCGGGGAGCTACGTGTGTGGTAGTCGGACGAATTTTAGGAGGTGACCCCTAAATTCCTCTCTGGTTGTGGGCTGGACTGTCTGGTACTGGAAGAATTGAAGTGTGCCGTGAACACAGAGTCAGATCCACAGTAGGCGCCTAATGGATAATCGATGAATAGATGCTGGTTGAATAAAGTTGTAGAATTGAACACACCGAGTCTGTACTTGTGGAAGGACCAGAATAAAACTTGAGCACCAGTTAGAACGTCTTGTGTAGAGATGAAAAGCAATCCTGAGCCAATATGCCCTGCCAGCAAGGGACCAGCCAACTTGTGCGAAGTCCTGCCTAGGTGGGTCTGCCCAGCAGTGGGCACGTGTTATTCGTGCAAATCGCCTGGCCAGATTTCTGTCCACCCTCAGATGGAGAAAGCTGCGGATTTGGAGGTCTCGGATCAGCGCCAGCGACGACCTGCTCGCATCCTCTCCTCGCTCCGCCTTTGCCTTTCTTCCGAATCTCTCCACGCTCAAGGCTGAAGGGATTCCCACCCCTTGCCTGCTCGGAGCCCCGCGGAGCCACGGACTCCTCCCCTGGAAATTCCTCGGGGGCTGGGGAAGGCTTTGGCGCATGCTCCGTACCTAGGGCAGGTTTTTTTTTTTTTTGTTTTTTTTTTTTTTGCTGCGGGTAGCAGGGCTCCTGTCACACCGGCTGGCGGGTTGTGGCGGTGCCAGCCAGTGTGTGCGAGTGTGTCTGCGTGCCCGCGCCTGGGCGGACCGACCCGGAGCAGCAGTGCGCCTCGCCCCGGGGAGGCGGCTCCGCACCGGCGCCTCGCCCGCAGCCGCTGCGGGGGGCTCCTCCGCAAACTTGCGGCGGGCGCCGTGCGTCCTCGTGGCTCCAGCACCTGGCGATCCGAGGGCAAAGGCGCCTGGAGCGCGTGCGGCTCGCGGGGCCCGCGGGTGGCCGGGGCGGCGGGGCCGCGCCGTGCCTTCGCCCTTGGCCGGCGCCCTCGAGAGCCCCATGCAGCCCCCGCGCTCGCGGCCGCAGCTGCCCGGCTGCCCGGGGCAGGTCCGGGACCCGAGCCGCGCTCCCCAGCGCCTGAGCGCCGGCGGCGGGATGCCCCGCGCCGCCTGAGAGCGCGCGCCGCGCCCGGGGCTGGGAGCCGGGAGCCGGGCGCCCCCGGGAGCGCAGGGCGCCCCACGCCGCCGCCGCCGCCGCCGCGCGCCGGCGCCGGTCTCCCCGCTCGATCCGCAGGCCCGGCTTTGCCAGCCCCGGAGCGCCGGAGTGCCGCGGGGCTGCCAGCCAGCAGCTCGCCCCGGCGTCAGGGGCATGGAGGAGCGGCGGGCTCGGAGCCGCGCCCCGGAGTCCCCGAAACTTCCGAGCTGCCGCGCGTCCGCGTCTCTGCCGCTGTCGCCGTGTAGCCTGCCGGCCTGAGAGCGGGACCATGGATGAAAGGTTCAACAAGTGGCTGCTGACGCCGGTGCTCACTCTCCTCTTCGTGGTCATCATGTACCAGTACGTGTCCCCCTCCTGCTCCAGCTCCTGCGCCAACTTCGGGGAGCAGCCCCGCACCGGAGAGGCCGGCCAGCCGGCCGCCCCGAGTCCCGCCCGCCGGGCACAGGCGCCGCCCGAGGACTGGGAGCGGCGGCCCCAGCTGCCCCCGCCACCCCGGGGGCCGCCCGAGGGGCCTCGGGGGGCCGCGGCGCCGGAGGACGAGGACGAGGAGCCGGGGGACCCCGAGGACGAGGAGGAGGAGGCGGCGGCGGAGGAGGAGGAGGAACCGGACCCCGAGGCCCCCGAGAACGGCTCCCTGCCCCGCTTCGTGCCGCGCTTCAACTTCACCCCGAAGGACCTGACCCGCTTCGTGGATTTCAACATCAAGGGGCGCGACGTGATCGTCTTCCTGCACATCCAGAAGACCGGGGGCACCACGTTCGGCCGGCACCTGGTGAAGAACATCCGGCTGGAGCAGCCGTGCAGCTGCAAAGCCGGCCAGAAGAAGTGCACCTGCCACCGGCCCGGCAAGAAGGAGACGTGGCTCTTCTCCCGCTTCTCCACCGGCTGGAGCTGCGGGCTGCACGCCGACTGGACGGAGCTCACCAACTGTGTGCCGGCCATCATGGAGAAGAAGGACTGTCCCCGCAACCACAGCCACACCAGGTACTGTCCCCCCGCCGCGGCTCGCTTCCGGCCACCTTCCTCCCCACTCCAGCCCGCCCCGCCGCCCCCACCCCAGTCCCGACCACCCCGCCCCCCCCACCCCCGGGCGACCCCGCACTCCCTCCGCGGCGCCAGGCGGCTGGTTCCCCAGCATCGTCCCGCGATGCGGGTAGAGGTTTTGGAAGAGAGAGAAGAAACCTTTGGAAAGTGTCCTGGTCTTGAACTCGCTCCTCCCCCCATCGCTCTCTCCCCCGCCCCAAAGGTGTCGAGAGCTGTCGTCGTCGTGGTGTGTGTGTGTGTGTGTGTGTGTGTGTGTGTGTGTGTGTGTGTGTGTGTGTGTGTGAGAGAGAGAGAGAGAGAGAGAGAGAGAGAGAGCTTCCTTATGCCTAGCACGGTGTGACCTCTCTCTGTGCGTGGAACCCCTGGAATGGCCAGGAGTCCTGGGTTAGACCTCAGAGGTCGACTCTTGAACCGAAGTTCTGCGAGAGGAAACTCAAACCCGGTGAAAGGCAGAGGGAGCTGGACGTGGAGAGACAGGGTAGGAGTTTTCCGGGCAGGGCGAAGCCAGAGGCGAGTCTGATCCCTCTGTAAGTGGCTCCTTGGTGGTTGTTCTCAAGGCTCTTGTTGCCGCTTTGAAGACACACGTTAGAATTTCTGCTCCACCTCCATAACCCTAATTCTGGAGATGGGCTTTGTTGCTGAGCAGCGCCAGTATTTAGACTCCTCCTGTTCTCAGCAATATTTGCACTCTCCCCCCGCCCCCCGCCCCCCCCCCCCCCCCAGACCAATCCATCAACTCATTCTGAAAGCATTTGTTAAAGGCTTCCTGTGTGCCTGGCAGTGTGCTCAATGCTAGGTGCATACAAATATGTCAGAAACAAAATCCCTAGCTTCCTCTCCCACCTCTGTCCCCACCCACTTTAAAAGGGTCAGGCCGCTGAGAATTAGGAAAGTTTGAAATCTTAATAGCCAATGAAACTGCTTAGCTTATTAACATCCTTGCAGAGAGGCACTGGGCTTGAGAATTTCGGTTTAATGTTCTTTCTGCCCATTGCAATTTGAAGATTAATCTGACATGCTTGCTCAAGGGACTAAAATATTAAAAGCTTGGAACACTGGTTTATTGAGGTTTTTATCTCAAAGGTTTCAAACAGTTTGGTGTAAGGAAATAGGAGTTTAAAAACTCAAGCTCAATATGTTGATATCAGATAGCTTTTGCCTCTGACATTATGGAAAAGCTTCATTTACTGGAAGCTACCCAGATTCTGGAATTCACCACCACTGAAGCATCTAATTCTACTTCATTTCTCCAAGAATGAGCAAAATTTCATTATGGGATTTTTTACTCTGGCAGTTTTTCAAATACTTTCTCTCCTCCCTGCTCCTTTGCCTGTTTAATGGAAATTGCTTAGAATAAGAAACTGGTTGGACTTGGAATGAAAGCATGACTCCTTCCTTAGCGTATTTTAAGGACTTTTAACTTTTCGAGATTTCTAATTGTATAGTGTTTTAGATCCTGTATAGTATTTTAGCTTGCAACAGTTTTTCAGTTGATAATGACTGCCAAACTTCCTACCAAAGGAGGCTATTATTTCAGTGAGAGACAGTCTCTGCTACATTTCATCACAAATTATACTTTTTGTATTTATACGTTTATGTAATAACTCCTGAATGTCCCCAGAGAGTTTACTAGTGTGAATCCCAGCTTCCATTTCACTTGAACTAGAGACTAATTATCACATAGACCTAGCTAGTGATTCTTCAGTAGAGACGGGCATTATTTTCTATCAAAGTCCATAAAACCTTTAGTGAATAGATGAAGATTTTGGAGCAATTGGAGATGATGAAATTTAAGAATACTTGGATTTTTGCTTAGTGATGACATGCTGCTGCTACTTCAGATCCTGCATAGGTTACAGCAGCAAGGTCTTAGTTCTCCAGGAAATACTATTTCAGGGGCTTCCCTGCTGGCTCAGATGGTGGAGGAAATATCATCTCTCTGCTGGGTAATGGAGGAGAATGCAACCTTGGCTATTTGAACATAGGGTTTCTATTGCACAGTCAAATGCTTGTCTTTGTTTAATGATAGATTCTTTTCTCTCAGAATCAAAAGTTTCAGATCAACCTGCACTGGTTTGCTTGTTAAAAAAATCTCTTAATAATGTTTTTTGGGGGGCACCATTTTTATAATCCTTCTTACCCTTCATCCTCACCCCCTCTCCCTTTTCCTGATATTCTCAATTACTTTTCTCCTGTGGATGCTGTAGGGAGGAATAGCTGTGGTGTATGTAAAGGACCCTGCATCAAAAGCGATAGGGAAAAAGTTGAAGAGATGTTCAGCTGCATCTTCCTCACACAGAAGATCGAATTAGTTGTCTGTCATTAGAGTGTCTGTGTACAGCGTTGTACAGTCAACTAGATTAGCCTGGATAATGGAGGGTACATTTCCACAATGCAAAATGGCAGATAATCTATTGCTACATAATGGGAACAAGGTTCTACTTCAAATAGGGCTGACTCTGAGCAAAATCAAGAAGTAGATCGTGTTGACTTCGGTGCCCTAGTCTCTTTGCTTTTGGTTCCTCCGCTGTCTCCCCTCTCCACTGCTCACAGGGATCGATGTCCTTGTGGGTCATGGAATACCTGTAAGAGGGAGGATTCTGGAGTCAGCTCGTGTGGCTCTTGTGCTTACTAGCTGTGTGAATTAGTAAGTTGCTCTTTCTGAGCCTCAGATTCTTCATCTTATATGTGGATAATAATTGGTACTTAACCTCTTAGAGGTCTTATGAGAACTAAAAGAGCAAATGCATGTAAAATGCTTCACATAGTGTTGTCATAATATCTGTGTGTAGTGTAATATGCTGATACATAGCACCCAATACTTGGTATGGAGCTATATAGTAATATTTAAATATTAGTTGCTAACTGTAATAACAGTATTTGCCCTAATCAAGGCCTTCTTCCACAAAAGGATATGAGGTCATTTCCTCAAGGAGCTTGATGCAAATGGACCACCATAATTTACAGAGATGCCATTTTATGATTATTTGTGTGGAGACAAAATCCTAAGTTCAAAACACTGATCAATAAATTGAAAATTATGAACATCTGGGCATCAGTCATTGCAGAGTGCAGTCTGGGAAACAGGGATGGGAAAGCACATCGTGTAACTGAGTGTATTCTGTGGGTGACAAAGACAAACTGTTTGTTTGGAATGGTGAACGAGGAGTTGGGAACAGCTGGGACCAAAGGCTGAAGCAGGGAGCCAACTCTGGAAGGAGATTCTTGGAAGAGTGGAAGTAGCCATCCTGTGTGTTTTAAGGGGCCAGAAAGGAACAAGGCTCTGGGGCTGGCAGTTTGAATCCAGTGCAGAGGGCATTTCTGACCACAGAAATCAGTTAGAATAAAACAGGAAGGTAATAGGAAGATGGCTTGTCTAAATGACCTCTTTTATCATATTAGTAATGATTTCTTCCCTTTCTTTTTCTTTCTTTTCTCTATTATTTCTTTAGTAGGTTATTGTTTCTCATCTTTATGCTTCCTTCATTATCTCAGCATGTTTCCCATTTTTGTCTGCCTGCCTAAGTCTTTAGAAGACTCTTCATTACCTTCTGTGGAGAATGGATAGACTCCTAATATTTTATGGCTAAAAAAGACTGAAGAGATAATCTGGTTCCGTAATTTGTGTGGCCAGTGTGTTATCTAATACTAAGGAGATGTGAAATACATCTAAGGTTTCCACAGGGAACTCATGTCTTCATCTTGATCATTTATATTCAATGTTTTGCCCACTGTTTCTTCTGTTCACTTTAACAAGTATAGTGGAGTGTATCTTAGGCACCTACTATGTGCCAGGCCCTGTCATAGGTCTCAGAATATAGTTTGAGCAAATAGTGTCAGTCCTATGAACTCAGGTGTTTAGGCAAGATAGACCTTGATCTTTAGTAAGTGAGTATTGCTCTCATTCTTAAAATTGTGATGGAAAGAGATTCCATCCATTCCTTTTGTAGGGTGGGATGGCATTTTTTTAATGACCACATTTTGTTGGTCTTGTTAGACTGCTTGCAAGTTTATGAATGTGGTGTTCAATAGGACCCTCTGTGTTGTAGACGATACAAACTTGACTCAAACTCAGTTCAGACAAAGGGGAAATCCTAGCTGAATAACCAGAACGCAGGAAAGAGAGGTAGACCCTGTCTTTCATATTGGACCCTTTTTCCACACCCCTTTTCATACTGGACTCATTCTATCAAAATGGCTTATTCCAGGAAATGAGTAAATGGCTGTTGAATCTAGTAGATCTAGGGCTAAGAGGAACGCAAGCCTTCTCTGAGTTCCAATTGGAAACCTTGGGGAATGACTCTGATTAGTCCAGCTTGGAACTTATGACTATTTTTTCAGCCAATCGGTGTGGCCAGGGAGATGAGGTTCTCTGACCCAATTTGTATCACATGAATGGTGGTGGTGGTGATGGTGTGTGTGTGTGTGTATCACAAGAAGGGGAGCTAGCACAAATACAGCTTCTGGGAAGACCACTGGGTTCTGGGATAGTCGTAATTGTGTCAGTTATGCTTGTAAATAAATGAGAAATAACCTTCAGATCTCTTTAAAAAATATTTTAAGAAAAATTTTGAGTCATGCTACAATGCCAGTTTATTTGTAACATCTGGAAACCATGTCATAGGAGGAATTCTTGAAGGAGCTGGTAATATTTAATATGGAGGTGGGAAAAATAGGAGAGACATAAGGATTGCTCTCAAATACTCATAAAAGGAAGATATGGAAGGTGCAGGAGATTTGTTCTGTGTTTTGCCAAAGGATGGGATTAGGATAGGAAGAGAGAAATGAGAGGACAAGGATTTCAACTCAGAGTAAGAAAGAACTTCATTAAACGTGTAACTGTCTACAAGAGAAGGAACTCTTTTGTGAAGTGGCGTGCTCCCCAGCAGTGAACATTTTAGCTAATTAACCACTGATGTTGGAAAGGAATTTCTTCCTGG